CAAACAGAAAGCAAAAGGCCAAAATCAAGCTCTAACAATACTATGGATTTGACAGGAGGCAGAACATTTTGATTTTAAGTATATTAAACGTTTTTGGATTAGAATAAATTTGGCAATGCAATGTACTGAGAAAAAAAAAATCAGCAAATTGTTTTTCACAATTGCAAATTGTTTTGCTTTTTTTTTTTTTAGCTGAATCAATGGAAACATCCATGGTACTGCACTTGTTTTTAAAGTGTTCATCAAAATCCCGATGTTAACATATATTTTCTTGAGATGATTTTGATAGCTGTATGAGCTCTACTCATTTTTTCCATACAGCTTCTTTTATAAGATCAGCCAGTCTCTGGAAAGCCTGCAATGATATAAAAGATTATTGAAATTCATACACCTGCATTACTTAAACACACAATCTACTAAAACTACACTAATGCTCACATATGAGCTCACTGCTTTATACTACAAAATTCTGCTGATATTGTGTGTTTTCCTTTTTCTCTAACAACATGCACTGGCTTTAGATCATATTGTGACAAGATAAAGCTTCCACTCATCTGATAAAAAAATGAAAGTTGGTTTTTTTTCTGAAACAGAAAAATACACTTATTGATGCTCAGTGATCATTTGGAGTTGAAATAAAGCTAATCAGTTGTTTTAATAGAACTAGTGATCCTTTTAACCCATTATAGAGCCCTAGAGATGCCAAAGCTGAAAGAAAAGAAAGAACAACTTAGAAGAGAAGCATACAGAAGTACAGTGTCAGCAAGGTACGATTTGACTGTCCACAGTATGCCTAGGAATTACTTCCTCTTTCACAAACAAGAAGAAATACAGGACAACAGAAGCACATATCTGTTACAGACCCAAGTAGCTGAATGAAAGTAAAACTACAGATACTGAACTTTCAAGCACCTGCATCAGAGGATCACTAAATCTGCACAAAAAGTTATCTCCTAGACTTTCTCCCCATTGATTTTACAGATACAGCCAAATAACATCCAAACTGTTTGTAAAATACAGATTACTTCTTGAGAAACGAAACGCAACGTGCACATGAATCATAGGAAAGAAAATCAATATTCTTCCTTACAACACACAAAAAGGGTAATTCAGTTTCAGGGATGGAAAATAAGGAAAATAAAAATACATGCTGTTTGCTAACGCTAAGACAGATAGCAAAACTTTGGCCTCAGTGAAGCTCTTCTGAATAATAACTGGGATGACTAAGTGTAAGAATCTATATGTATGCAATACACAGAAAAAAAAATTAAGGAGTCATAGGACTCCTTAATTACTAAATGGAGCACATTGCAGGAAATTTGGATAAAAGTATCTTGCTGCTTCAAAAGTACTGCTTTAGTGCCTACATACCCAAACAAACACACTAACAAATAAGAAATCACACAAGGAGAAGTAAAAATATCATCATATCATGTAATTGCATGAGAAACTGTTCTTGATAAGAATGTTTAAAAAAGAATAATTCCAGTCTCACTTACCAGATCCATCTGGGCTGGAGAAGGCAGAGAGAAAGAAGCTCTGACATAAGGACTGGGCTCTGAACTATCAATGTTGAACACTCCTCCAGGAACCAGTAACACCTATGTAAAAGCAGTGAACCACTCAGTTAGAAGCACTCGTACAGGCTGAAAACAATACATTCTATTAAATTTGAGAGGGCAAACTGGTATCAGACTTTTTGTAACAAAACCAAAGGGCTCTCAGGCTGGTGCATAACCAGATTTGGTTTACTGTCAGTGTTTAGAAGTACCAGTGCAGTAGGATGCAGTTTACTCAGTGCACTGTATTGTCTCTCTTAAATTTTAAAAATAAAATCACACTTAATTTTTCATACTAAAAAGAGTCTGTAATGATGGCTGCCCACTCTATTACATATACAATACCAAAAATACACTTTAGATATATACTGAATATATTGTATATAACATATATAGTACATAGTATATATGTGATATAAATTTAAGCTGATTAAATATCAACATTTGAATACATATAAGAAAATATTTTACTAATAACACGCTACATTGCAGAACAATGCCTCAGACTCAGTGATGATTGTGGACACAGGTTCCCTGCTTTCACAGGTCTGTGCCTACGTGCAGATAGATAAAATAGATTTATTTCATCATTTCCTCATTTAATATTTTAAGCCATTAAGCCATAGGTCATACTTCTTTTTGCAAAGCTTTTTCCATGATCAGCTGGTGTGTATCAGAAACTCCCTTAATTTTGATCCATAGGAACATGCCAGCAGCAGGAGGATGCCATTCTGCCAAGCCTAGAGAAAAAGAAAAGGGAATCAAGAAAGAAATTTCTGTTCTTCCTGTAATTTGATACATCATAGAGTAAATGATGTAAATTTATTGCTTGAATGAACTTCTGGTAACAAGCAATGTCCCTCAGGGCTCCGTCTTGGGACTGGCACTCTAGAACATCTTTACCAGTGACAAAGATGATGGGATTTAGTGCATCCTCAGCAAGTTTGCTGACGACACCCAGCTGAGTGGTGTGGTTGATTCAAGCAGAAGGAAGGGATGCCATCCAGAGGGACCTTGATAAACTCAAAAGATGGGCTCTTGTGAATCTTACGAGGTTCAACAAAGCAAAGTGCAAGGTTTTGCACTTGAGTCAAGGTATCCCCAGATATGTATACAAATTGGGAGAAGAACCCCTTCAGAGCAGCCCTGCTGAGAAGGTCTTAGGGGTCCTGGCTGATGAAAAATTTAACATGAGGTAGCAGTGTATGCTTGCAGCCTGAAAGGCCAATGGTGTCCTGGCTGCCATCAGAAGAGGGGTGGCCAGCAGGGAGAGGGAGGTGATTGTCCTCCTCTACTTTGCCCTTGTGAGGCCCCATCTGCAGTACTGCATCCGGGTCCCCGAGAGCGTGCAGAAAAGGGCCATGAAGATGATGCACGGGCTGGAACACCTCTCCTCTGAAGGCAGGCTGAAGGAACAGGAAGGTGGGCAGTTCTTAAATAATTATTGCTGATTCCACAGCAGACTGACTAAAAGGAGTAATTATAGTCACTAACTGTAATTCCATTGTTGCTGAGCAGCTTTGTTCTGTGCTCTGTGATTAATCATAAAAGCGATGTCTGAAATTATGTTCAGACAAAATGACCATCACTACTACCATATTTATATCTTCTTTTAAAATTATGCAACTGAATCTGACACTTTCGGATGGAGATTTTAAAGACAGAGATTTTAAACAGAAAAAGAATGTCATGGAGTGAAATACATTCGGTCTGTAAAGTTGCTTTATATGTGATAATGTGGTGAGATTTTTTCTCATCATCATTATCCTGTCCCCCCACCAGAAAAGCAGGACAACTGCAGTCTTAGATAATCCACCCTAAGCTTAATATTTCACGTCACTGATTTGCTCATAGTGATCATCTATCACTTTGGTCAAGGGGTGACCTTCAGCAATTTTTCTTGAATACGAAGATGATAATAGCTAGAAAAAAAGTCTAAGTTATTAGCTGTGTTGCACTGACTGACCTTTTAACCATTTATCAGCAGCAATGAGCATTGCTTCCCGCTGGGTCCTGTAGAACTCCACAACTCTGAAAGTACATTACCAATTGAAAGCCATGATCTCATAGTGCTTCAGAATCCATTTGTTTCCAAAAGCAGAAACAAAGCTTTTCTACTTATCAACCAAAATGCACACTTAACAGAAATGTGAACACATCCTAGATCAGCACAATATAATATACTGTGTATATGAAACTTTGTATATGCATTAGAAAAGTCTTGAACGCTTCGTGGTGTCTGCAACAAAGCACAGATCAATGAGAAAAAAAAAGTGCATTTGTCGCTGCTTCTTAATCCTTACATGCCTGAGAAAGTTCAGTATTAAACACTTTATAAATGATATCCATTCTATTATGTTGGTGGATACAAGCCCTGTTTGCACTAGTCATCACAAAACATGCATACAGAAGTAAATTAAGTATTTGTATGCCTGCAAAAGTACATGTGATATTTATGCATTTGGGTTAAGTTTTCTGTAATAGGTACACATAAAAACAATATTTCATGAGATAAAAACAGATCATATGATAAACCCATCATGACTATCTGACAGCTTCCCTTGTTTTAACCCTTTGAGCCTACTGCTTTCATACTTCAACTAAAATTTCAAAATAATACAATAACTTACTAGGGAAAATGACCCTACCCCAAGGTCTAAGAGAGACAGTGTACAATGTACAACGACTACTCTCACTGGTATAAAATGGAGCAGCTGTGATTCTGCAACATTAGATAGACATGACAGAAATGTATGGTGTAGAGTGCATAGATCAGGTACAAAATGGCTCCCTTCTCTAAATATGAACCATACTTAGTAGTTTCCCTTTTCTTTGATACTCTTGGAACATGGAGCTTTGCTTTCCGAATGTATTTCATGAAGCCTAACAAATACTAACTACCAAAAGCTAACGAATCTCAAGGACTCTGCCTCAGGCAGTTATTACACTCTACAAAAAAAGGTAAATTTTACTTCTGCAGTTTTTACTGCATCATAAATTCTGCGGTAACGTTTTTTTTTCTTTGCTTTTCTGTGCTGTTATTTTACTTTCCTGTTGGAATCGAATTTTAAATATGAGGCAAAACTTTCACAGAAATGTAATCACTATAAACAATAGGCTTACTCTGAATCAAAACCACAATCTAACAAGTCAACCTGATCCCAGTGAAATCATGTGGAAATGGTAGGACCTAATAAAAAATAAGTCACCTGACAACAGTCTCTAGGAGGCTATAAAGGGTTGTGGGTAGCCTACTGCAACATTATTTTCTTTAGGTAAAGAGGAAGAACACATTTGGCCTAGGAAAGGCTGCCTCCCTGTCAGGAAGAAGGTAAGTGAAGAGAGATGTTTAAGAGTCATGTTTTCTAATTGCTGAAAGCTGAGATAAAGTGTAGTCTGAGTTCTCCTACAAATCTATCTTTATGCTCTTGTTTCTTACACCTATTCTGTGATACCTAACGCAATACAAAGCCAGGGCTAGTATCTCTTTTTCACTGTTTGTGGAATGGGTAAAGCCTGGTGCTCAGGGGCAGAAGTAGCTGCTGTGGTCAGATGTAAGAACCTTTCTTATGCTTTTCTTACAATCCTGTGACAAGCCTTTACAAACCATAACGTGCTACCCATTACTGTAGGAAGCTTAGGGTTCAAATCTGATTATGACATTTGAAATGCATCATGGATACTCACGTGGATATGTTTTGTGTAGGTAGCAAGAAGCAGCATGACAGATGAAGGGATTCAAAATATGACATGACCTTACCTGTCTGTGTGCTCCAAGAAACCCTTTTCTCCCCACTGCTGAAGAAGCTGTGATATTATCATCTAAAGAAACAAAATGCACTATCAATACAGGGTTGCTCCACAGTCTCAAAAAATATATTGCCCTGTGTGCAAGAAATTGCATGCAGGGTCTCTTGGAGCCCTTTATAAACTGGGGTGCCAGTAGCAACAGACTATTGCAGTCCATGTCACTGCTACCTTTAAGGACAGTGGCAACATTTGGAAGTTGGAGTTGGAAGAAGGAATGGATAGAGAGCTGAATATGGCAACCTGGGCAAAAAAGGAAGGCAATGTATACTGTTCTACAGAAGTTCCTTCTAGTCTCTCTTTATTACTGCCCCTATGATGAACTAATGGAATTGGAAGTTGTGTGTAGACATGCTTGATGTCTCCTTTCCTTATTACCAGTTATAAAGGAGCTGCTGATGGCACCTTTGTTATGTCTGTGAGCTGCCAGTATTATTTTAGATATTAAGCATAAAGAAAAATGAGGAGGAGGAGGGGAAGAAGAACTTCTACTGTTTGCTTTATATTGAGGTTTTTCAAGTGATCCCATTGACAAGAGATAAAACATCTTAAATCTTTATTCTTGAAATCTGCTGTTTAATATTATATTAGCTGAAGCAGTAGTGCTTTCCATGCACTAAGCTCTCTAGTTCTGGCTGCAGTTTCTTTAGTGATCTCTTCCTTTTGGTGAATCAATATCTCTTCTTGTAACTAAAACTGAAAAAGTCTAGTGCAACTATGCTTGTTCTTAGTTTCCTCTGACCTGGAATCCAATCTTTCAGTACAATTCAGTTGGTAGTTTAGTACTTGCCTGTGTGAAAGTGCTGGTGTGCATTGTAGAAACCTGAATGTGTAGAATAACTCTGTCGATAAGAGGCTTGGGACCTGTCAGAAAACCAACTCTCAACCTAGAAGGAAAAGGAAAAATTACAATAGGAAATGCAGTGTGCAAATCCTTTATGTGAGTTATGGTTTAACTTGTAACCAGAAAACCTACAATCATTTCACTAATGTGCTAAGGCTCTTACATGTATTTATATCTTTAATATTGCCCTGAACTCCAGGTTTACACAACTTATAAGCTAAGATCAATCAAAGGAAAGGAAAGATGGATTATTCACATAATTGAAAGTCATGAACGCTCAGGTTCATGGAAAAATATGCAAGCTGGCAAACAAACAGGCTGCTTCTTTTGCTCTTTTAGCACTGCAGGATAAATGGAATTCAGGCTGATAAAATAGGTTCTTATTCATGTTTCATTGCTATGACCTGTCTTTACTCAGACTGTTTTTCTTCAAACAGCTATTAAAGCCAATCAGTGAGCTCAGATGCGTCCTTGGCAAAGACAAAATTGCATCGTGCCTTTCTGTAGTGTCACTTCTGGAAGTGTCATCACACTTGGCATCATGCTGTCTCTACTCTTTCTTGGGGATGGGGTCACAATCCACTAGCTGCCAGTGAAAAATTCGTATTATTTTCTTATATCTATTAGAATAATAAAAGCAAATTAAAACACAAATGCATTGTTTGGTGTGAGAGTATCCAGCTTAATTTTTCAGGAGGACACAACCTGAAAGAACTGTAAAGCTAGAAGGTATCACTATAACTCTGATTGTAGAGAATTATGCCATTATTTCTTTTATATGTTGGAAGAGTCTGCAGAAGTGGTAATAGGCAGGAAACTGGCAAAAGACTACTAGGAGTTCCAGGAAGAGAGCTTCAGGCCAGCATCTCACTCTCTCTGCCTGTGTGGTGCCTGGAAGACTGGCCTGCCTGGGCAGGATGGCATAACTATCAGAATCAGAAGAGAATCAGAATTTGGAATTATAAATGACCTTCAAGAGATGACAGGAAAAGTTAGTACACTGAAGAAAAATGCCTTCCAGAAATGACCAGGTATTAGATGAAAAAATTGTCATCTGATCCTTTTGTACACAATATTCGTCTTGTGTCTTAATCAAGAGATAATACTGAGGAGTCTGAAGTGGGCCTTACCCAGATGAGAGAACTTTAGAGAATGAGTCAGTCCTGATGACTCTGCCATCCACATCCATTGAGAGGAAACTTGGAGCCCATGGCTTCAAAGAAAAAGAAAAAATAAAATTCAAGTTTCTAATAGGGATTGCGATGGAATTACTTTCTTTGCTATGGAGACATAATTATTTCTTTAAAGTACATATTTTGATAGTAAATATTTTAGTGATGGACATTCAAAGGACAGGGGCAGTAATTTGCTGACAAATATTTATTTAGACTAGCTGTCTGAGATGTAATATTCTGTGAAAGCCATCAAGAAATCAGCCTTGTTTCCTTCAGCCCACTGAACAGCACACAAGTGCTCAGTTCAAGATTTGGTATGATGCCAGAAGCAGGGGAAACAAATTCTCTGTCGAGGCTTTTAAGGAGTATACAAAGGGATATTGTAACTTTAATGATGGAACAGTAGCTTTTCCATTTACTTAAAAACAACCAAATAAAAAACAACCAAACAAAGGGAAGTTGATGTGTCCAAATTTTGATCTGAGTTCAGCATGCTTTTTTCTTTTATCAAATATTCTACTACCTTTATGCATCCTCCCCTCGTTCTCTAGCAAAGCTAAACAATGCTATTCAGTATCTGTAGGCACTGTTATTGCCTCCTCCCACAAAAATGTATTTCAAAAAAGAATACTGAATACTACTGTTTAGCTTCTAACAGTTTTGCTTCCTTACAAGATCAGCTTTTTATTCCTAAAGCTGAGTGCTTGAGCAGACTGCTGTTGCAGATCCATTAGGAAAGACAGTTAAACACTTTATTACCCACAAGAGGAAATATTTAGGGAAGGAGGGAGGCTGCCTATCCACTACTACTTCCTATGGCTTTTGGGATAACTGGATGCCAAAAGGCAAAGGGGTAGAAATGAGATGTGATAGATTAGAAGTAGACCATCTTCCCCTGGATGGAGAAGTGACTGGGTTGAAAGGAACATCAAGAGGCTGCTATTTTCAAGCACTGCTTTGGTGGTGTGTTTGTTCTGCTCTGCAGGCAAAATCTTTGCAATTTTCTCAGTAATGAGGGAAATTCAGTCTTATGTAAGGCTTGAGGAATTTGAACTACCACAATTAAAAGGCTGATGCAATGAAATACCACAAAGGGGGCAAGTAAAAGTAGCAATAGACTGTTAAGCATATGACTAACTTAGAAGAAAGACATGAAGACTATCGAAGAAGATTTATGGCTCAAACTCTAGTTCTTTGGTATCAGAAGTGAAGGTGCTACCTAACATGGAAGATTACCTTTTCAAACTGAAGAAAGTAGTAAGGATCATCTTCTATGATAAGGAAATCATATTTTCTTGCAAGCTAAAGAAAGAAATGAATTCAACACAAAGACTGATTAAAACATAAAGACTGTAAATGCAGGTCCAGTGTACTCTGGACCTATTACCAGGACCATATTAGGATCTCACAGGTTGCTCCTTCACTGTGTGTAAAGCTGAATCAGGAGGAGGTTTCAGATGCCCAATTCAGACATCAGTCTAAACAGTAAACACACTACCTGCAGTGCAAGGGCAGGTGCATAACTAAAGGTGTGTTCAAAGGGTACAGTACACTTGTGGCAAACCCACTTCGAAGCTCCTGACAAAGACAGCAGGCAGCAATGTACTGCTACTGCAAAAAATAACTTACCTCGTGCTTCTGAAGACTCCTCATGGAAGAGGCTTTGTTTAGAAACAAGTTCTGGGTAGAACGTGTTCTGGACCAATAAGACGTAGCATGCAGAGTACCTTTAGCTACAACAGGATGAATATTTACCCATTTCTACCTACAACATTCATGAGGCCCCTCCTACATACCTGATAAATCTCCTTCTTGCGATCCGCAGTCAGAGAGTTTCCAGTTGGGTTGCAGCCATTTGGAATCGTGTACAGGAATTTGGGGAGAGGGGGGCTGTGGTTTTTTGTATCTTCTGGATTCCAAGATGACAGAATTTCTTTTAGAGCTTTTGGAATAATGCCATGTTGGTCACTAGGAACGTTAATGATGTTACAGCCCAAAGGTCTCAGCTGTTGATAGGATGAAAAAAACTGTCATGATCCCTTCTGACTTTATAGCTATCCAAAATTCTTACTTCCTCATGATTCAAATCAAAGCTTGTCTAGGTTTGCTATGTAGCCTGTCAAACTTATCACGTTCCTCTTCATTTGCCCCGTTAAGCCACGCAAGGAGAAAAAGGTAACTAATGTCTAATTGCTGTTCTTCTACAGGAAATGACACATTTTTGCAAGCAAAAAGGCATGTGGAGAGTTTGAATTGTTCTCTTCATGCTCTTAACACAGACAGGAAGTTTACTGCAACTCTACTTCCAGTGGATCATTTGCATTCTACTACTGCCAGAATTGTAAGCTACTCATTACTGACAAAGGGGAAAGAATCTGCTCACAGCAGGTATATTCAGCAATACCTGGAGAACAGAATGATGCTACTGCAATGACATGTTGACAGCAGTGTGAAGAGTTGCAGGAAAAATACTAACAAAACAGCATGCTGTCTCCCCTCCATGGATTTCAATCTGTAAGGTACAGTAAAATCAGACTATAAAACGCTTCAGTAGAACACGATGATTTGTTGAAATACCACTTAAAATCTATTCTGAACTGACTGCTGTAATGACTTTATTCCAAATCCCAAACATGACCTCAGTGCTAGAACAAACTACAGGATTTAGAAAAGGACTCTGTGTCCTGGGAATAGCTTTTATGAATTTCTTTGTGAACTTAACAGTAAAAACTTGACTCTTAGATGCCTTTTTGCAGTAAATACAGGGGATAGAAGCAAGTAGATCAGCTACCAAAGTGCTGTTCAAATCTGATGTTCACAGCTTTCTACTGATGAAATACTTACAGCTGCTAGTGTCCCAGAATATGTGGGGGCATCCAAAAGGATGCTGTCCCCAGGATTAATGAGCATTTCAAACACCTGTGAAAGAAAACTATTTTAGAAATATTTTACATATGCTTCCCAGTTCTGACTTTAGTGAGATTGTAAGTCTTGGTTACACATCAGTAATTCCCAAAAAATTTAAGTAACTGCTGTTTGTGAGGAAAACAGATGAACAACCAGCTTTAGAAACAAAACAGAGCTAGGGAATAACAGTTTTGAAATGGGAACAGCTCTCTGTACAACAGAAAGCATTTCATTTGCAGAAAGTATCAACTAAGCAGCGGAGCAGACTGAACAGGTTGATTATTCAAGGAAAACTCAGTTTGTCACGTTACAGAGAAGCAAATAAGGCACCTATGTGCTGATTACTTCAGTGACAAGAAATGTTATCTTAGTATATTTTCTGACAGGCTTTTTGGTATATCTGAGCATTCATGTATGTTTGACAAGAGACTGCCCAACGTGTTTTAAGTTCTGTTACCTTGTATGGATAGCCTGAGGTGTCTGTTTAACAAATACTCTACACAAAGCTTTGCACTGATGCTTAATGCTAAGTATAGCTGAAGAAAACATCTTGAAAGAAGTACTTTTAATATACTGAGTTCTTGGTCCTACTTTGCATAAGCCTTCCTGGCTGCCAGTTGTGACACACACTTCCATTTGTCCTCGCTCAGGACTGTAGTTGGCTGTGGGGGGATTGTGTAGATTCCTCTGAAAATTCTTCAGCCATGACAGCAGTTCTGGAATCCTGAAAGAGGAATGAGGTAAGGTGCATCTAACATCTTACACAGGCCAAGAAGAGGCTGCTCCTCTAAATACTGTCAAATCTAGCACACAGTCCTGAGTCTGGCTTTCACTGTCTCACAACTATACTCAGATGCCAATTTGACTTTTTTTAATCAAATAATGGTAAAGATATCAATCTTTCTACTGGAAGAGCAGCAAAGATGAACATCTACAGTCCACACACCGAATGATGACTGAGAAATCTGGGCACAAATGGTTCACTGAGGATGGAACATGGGTGGAGGTTAAACAGGATCTGTTCCTAGGAACAATCTTTCCATACTCAGATGTGGCTATCTGACAAAGCTTGCCGTGCTTCTGGAAGTAAGGTACAGCTAGCAAGAAACTTGGAAATGAGTTTTTTTTTTAAATTGTTTTAAGATAAAGTCTTGTAATACATCTACAAATGCCTGTTTACTAAAGTTGTGTTCACTTAAGTATTAGGAAAAGCTGCAACTGCACTGATTAATGCCCTATGTGACTACGTAGGTACGTGCATATTTTTGCAAGCCTGACTTGGTGCTGCCTACGGGGAGTTAATAAGAACACTAAGCTAACATAGCAATTTTTGTACTAAAAATGCCAATACTATAAAAATCTCAGTTCAAGCACCACAGGTGCTATGTGTCGACTTCTTTAGGGTACCAAATAAAGGCAAAATGAATGCTCCAGGATCTGGAAATTGCACGTCAATACTACATCATTCATTGAACAGCTTAATACAAAACACAGGATGAGTCCTTTTACTGACTTGGGAGTATATCAGATACAAACAGCTGGGAAATCTCTGGCTTGTTTAAAAAAAGTGCTCATCTACTCAGAACCTCCTGCTTAAACTGAAACATAAACACTGAGGAAAATTTGAAGAAGTTAAAGCTGTTTCAGTAAAGATCAATTAAGGCAATGATAGAGAACTTCAGGATTCTTTCATTCTGCCATCTTTTAGTGCAAGCAGCCTTTGCAGATACCCTGCTGAGGCAGAGTATTGAAGAGCCCTCTTCATTAAGTCTTCCCCAATCTCAACAGCATTTCCATGTCCAGTGGCAATAGTAGCCTTCTTAAATGGAAAAACAGCAGGGTTTGGTGCCCCTCCAGCCAGAGAGATGAGAGACGGAGGAGACTTTTGCATCAATTCAGCTACAGTAAAAAGAAAATACCTTGATTACAATTTGATTATTGCAGCAGTTGCTCACACGCTTTATCTAATAATAACCCAGGTAAGTTTGTTTTGTTTTACTACTACTGGTAGTTACATCTGATCATAGCTTTTAAATAAAGGAGCGGGAATGCTTCTGGCAGCGTGGCTTTAGCAGCAGAGGCACTGTGTAAATAAGGTGGTATGAAGGAAATGATAACTCTTGCTTTAAATGCAATTTCACAATCATTCACGTCCAATCTGTGCTCTGCTAGGGGCACAGACTGGACCTTGGCGAGTGAACTTGTTCACAATATGGAATTTGTGCTGACTTGATGCTTTCAGCTCGGATGTGAGAGGACGGATGCAATCAGGTCTGGCTCAGTGCCTTCCAATACTGAGTTTGTTCTGCAGTACTTATTAGACAATTGGACAACGAGTGGCAATTCATTGCAATCTGTGCCAAAACCCCTGCTGCAGGAGTGATAGCAGGGACTTTCAGGCCCTTGTTTAAGTGACAACAACACTATTTCTTTTGTCTGGATGAGTTTCTGAAATGAACGTTTCAAGGCTATTCTTTTTATCCGTACCTGACATCTCTAGATTAAAGCAGTCGTGTTTAACTGGCCCTGTGAACACCTTTCTCTCAAGCCTGCTCAAGTCTTTCATCACGGCACCTCCATAAAGTCTAGAATACGAGATGATACTCTTAAGAGAACCTGCCAGCAGCGGGCGCATACTCACTCAGAACTCTTATTGGAGATGCTTTTCTTGCTGCGCTCACGCTTGTGAGAAACCGAGAATAATTCATGTCTGTGAGGAAAGAGCAATTAGTTGAGCATCGAGGGGGAAAATGAATGGGAACCCTCCTGCTTCTGGAACGTGCATCTGCCACGAGTAACGCTGCCAAACGGTCCTACCCACAGTAAGCTCTATCACATCAATTTGCATTTAAGTCAATATTGGATCTTTTCTTTTTGGAACGAAGGAGTTTTCTTCTGGGCCACGGCTTCCCTCCTGTTGCCACGATCGCGCACAGCAGGACTGCAGCCGTTTGAGTCGGAAGGGAGCCTTAGAGGCAGCGGACAGGGACGGATACCTACAGCAGTACCGTGTGCTCCCAGCCTGGCTCTGAGCGTCTCCAGGACTTCTACCGCCTGTCCGGACAACCAGGCACGGATTCTGAGTGACAGCTGGCAGCGTGCCCTTCTAGCAAGAGCAGCGCCGAGCCGCCTCTTTCGGCTATCGGAACAACGCCGTGGAAGCACGCCTCGGGCGGCCGCGCTTTGGGAAAGCGCCGCTTCCAACGTCACCGCGGAGCGCCGTTCCGTTCGCCCGTCTCGGCGCTCCCCGACCCCACGATCCGCTCGGAACCCAGCCCAGCCATGCCGTTCCATGCTATGCCATGCCATGCCATGCTCAGGCCCGCACCCCCCCGTCGATGCGGCTGGCGGGGCGGCCGCTCGCACCTACCGGCGGCGCGGCGCGGAGCCGGCGGCGACCCCGTCCGCAGCGGGTGGGCGGAGAGAAGGGCCGCGGGAGGCGGGCTGCTGGCCCGGGGCGCTGCCGCTGCGTAGGGGCGTGCCGAAGTCGTGCGAGGGGCCGTTCCGCCCTCCTTTATTTATTTTAAGCTCGGGTTAATGGGGGGAGGAGCCGGAAAAGCGCCAGGTGGATTGGAGCTGCTTGCAACGTGACCTTGTTGTTCTGTTTCCGGGCTGCCGCCGTTATGCTTCGTGGAACGGAGCAAAGGCCGAGGAAACATTGGGGTCGGTTACTCCGCGATTTGCTCTCAGCCGATTACGGCCCAGCGGCTGCGGGCCTGCAGTAGCTCCTGCCGACCACCAGGTGGCGCCGCTTTTCCGTCCCGCGGCGTGCCGATTTCGGGTCGGAGCATAGCGGTGCGAAATACTCCAACCTGAGGTCTCACCTGTCTGTTTTCTGTCTGTAATTTGTATCCGCAGCGCTTCATTCCAACTGAAGAAAGTGCAGGTGACAAATCGAGCCTCTTGACTTATTTCCCACGGGAGTGCATAGATGGAAAAAGGATGCTGAGATTAGAAATGAAGATGCAAGTTAAAAATCAGTTCTCTTAAGGAGGCTTTGCAATTTTGGTCTGACTCACAAAGATTTTTTGTCGCTAAATAGGATGCATGCAGACTGTAGGAATAATTTTCTAGGTTTAACAATCACAGAATCACAGAATGGCCAGGGTTGAAAGGGACCTCAAGGATGATGAATCTCCAACCCCCTGCCAATGCAGGGCCACCAACCTCCACATTTAATACCAGCCCAGGCTGCCCAGGGCCCCATCCAACCTGGCCTTGAACACCTCTAGGGATACACGGGGCATCCACAGCCTCTCTGGGCAGCTGTTCCAGCACCTCATCACTCTCATAGTAAAGAACTTCACCCTAAATCTTCCCTCCCTCAACTTCAAACCATTTCCCCTCATCCTGCAGTTATCTACCCTTTCAAAGAGTTGATTCCCCTCCTGTTTGTAGGCTTCCTTTGGGTACTGAAAGGCAGCAAACAGCAATCACTAGTAAACTGTTTAAGGATCTATGAAAGGACTCACCTCAGATTAAGTGGATTTATAAGCTGGATGTATTTTGAGCAAGACTTGCACAACAGTACAGAAAGTGGATATTTCCCTGACAGCTGCTAACTTTATTTTGCTGTTAGTGACCCTGCAAGCTGGCCCACCTGTAGCCCTGTTCCTTTTATAAGCCATGTTAGCCTCTTTGCTTTCCTCAGATAAATGCTTATGGACATGATGGCCAAATGGCTTTTCTCTGTTCAGGTGAAATTCTGGTTTTGTAAGTTCCTGTGAAACTGGCTTTCAACAACAACAACAAAAAGCTGTTAAAATTACAGCTTTCTTAACATCTGCTGCTATGTGGAGAACACGATGTTATGTTGAATGACAGATTTTTAAAATTTAAGTGAAATGTAAGAGAATTTTGAGGGGCTGAGCAAAACACTGCAGACTGAAAGTGCCAAGGTATATCCTTTGATAGGGACAGCATTATCACCATCCACCTGAGAACTTTGGTATTTTATCCAGACTTTTTTGCTTTCAAAGAAGGGAACACTTGGAGCTAGATTAGAGTTAGACCTTGACAGATGGAGGTCCTTTCCAGCCTTTTATGTGTTGCCTTTATTTAAGCAGTTTTCTTTTTTGTACCCAACAACGTTATAGAAAAATCATAGCTACAAGCTTGTGCTCAAGATTTTCCTTGATTACCTTCACCTGAGGTGTACTGCAGGATGTTATTTGTAGGCTGGTATCAAGAAACAGATGTGCAGTCTCTTTCCTCCTTGCCATTGGTCCTCTTTCTGTTCCTGCTAATTATCACAGCAGTTCTACAGTCAGGAACAGAAAGTTGTTTTGGCCTCAAGTTAATTCTTCTTCCTCCTCCTCCTGCTCGTTGTCCTTCTCTTCTAGTTTTCCTCCTCCTTGTCAGACCTTGTTTAGGGCATGCTGACCATCTACATGTCCTGTGTGTGCCCGATAACTAGCCAGACCTGTAAGATCAGCATCCCCATCCTGCTGTACTTCAAGCAGTACCACGCCTACCGCATCCTCTGCCACCTGCTGTGGCAGGGGTCAGTTTTGGGCCATGCTGAAGCCATTTCATGCTGCAGGGTTGGGGCCAGCACTGCCCTGAGGCAGGAGATGATTCTGGGAAGTTTGTGGGGATGGTTTCCAGGTCTTGGGTGGCTGTCTGTACTCACTGTCTTCCTGAACTGCCCACAGCCATCTTCTATGGCTGATCCTCGCTGCAGTGAGCCATCATCCTGCAGTGAGATCATGGAGCTGTAGCAATTGGTAAGCTTCCTCTAGATATCATCCCATCCCACTCCTTGCTAAAGCAGCTTTTAGTATCAGGTGTTTGTATCATTGCAGGTGAATTTCTCAATGGTAGCATTTCTTGATTTTGGTAGAGCTTCCCAAGCTTGAAGGCAGGTGTGCTATCCTGAGAGTGGAGCAGCATCCACTGTCTCACAAAAAAAGACCTTCTGGTTTCCTTCTTTAGGGTTAGTTTGCTAGAATTTATCTCTAGTTTCTAGCTAGGTGACTCAAACTGGTGCTTCTCGGGGAAACCCTTTGTGTCAAATCTTGGTAGGTTAATTAGTTCCTGTGAGCCTTCATCCCAAACTGAGACTGAACCCTAACACAAATGACAAAAGGATGTCCTATTCTGCATTTACCTTCTTAACAAAATAAAAGGAACCACATTTGGATTCTGCCTTTGACTTAGATGTTTGCATATAATGTATTGTATCTTTATTCAAGAGTTAATAATTGGTTTCACTGTAAATTAGTTAGTGATCCCATTCAGCTGTGATAAAGCACAACAGCTAGTTAATTAAGGATAGAAAAGGGAGTTCGTTTACTTAGATGTGACACTGCTTTCCTAATGACTTGACTTCAAAAGAGTTTCAGTTAATTATTAGGTTATTTTATTCATCTAGGGAAAATCTAGGTAAGATAATTAATACTGGAAGAGTTTTAAGAAGGGCTAGTTTTCATTTCAAATTACAAGCAGCAAAACTGATTCATAGTGTTGTGAGATTGAAATGCAAATGGAAAGACATGCAATGGAAACAGGCAATCCTATCTCGTTACGCGTGCATTATTCAAGGAGGGAAAGAAACTGAGCTCAAGTCTATGCTTTGCTGCTCGCAGCATTTGCTGACTGGCAAATACATATTAACTGAGTGAAAATGTTTAGGGATTCGACATTCATTGGCAAGGAGAAAGCTCATCATCTGTGTCCTTTGCAGCTGCTGATATTCAGCCTACACACCCCTACTCTGATGTCAGTGGTCTAAACGAGGACCATACCCAAACTGACAGTTTAATCCCAGGAAATCTCTGTTGAATTATTAGCTGAGGCTCCAACATCCACAACTTTATACTGTTCCTCAAGCAAAATGAAGATTTCCTAGTTTCCAGTCCAGGTGGGGAGGATTCTGCAACAGCTAAACCCTGCTCAAAAGTCCAAACTTACTTTCAATAAAGGATTTTTTACACATATTCACCACCAGTATAAGCCCTCAGTCAAAGGAACAGAATTGCCTGGTCCTTCGGGTGATTAGAACTGGGTTGTGTCCATAATAATCATTAACTGTTGCAAAATCCCACCTTAGCACTTAGCACTCCTTAGCAAAGGAAAGTATTCAAAATACAAGAAAATATTGCAAGAGTATTTCATCTTCCCTCCTCTGGCTGGAAAGCTGGTCTTTTCAGCCTTCAGTCTCTTGCGGATATAATCATTTATATATAAATGGAAAACTTGTCCATGACTCATCTGCCTGTATTACCAAGTGCATTTTTTAGTCCAGTAGCCAGATGTCCATTATGTGGGCTGCTAAGTGATTTACACTGATTGAGCATGCACTCTATGCAGCTCTTGCAAATTTTATATGCTGGCTGTACAGGGAATGAATGCGTGCTGATTATGCTCCAAATAGCAATGAACCCAATTACCTAAGCCACTAACTCCCAGTAAGGAAGCCAGAAATACAGCTGTTGCTTCACTACCTTAAAGAAACATTTGCTGTTTTGATCTCAGACTACTGTACATTGCAATAAATGACGGATTTATATTAGAGAAGAACTGGCCTATGAGTTGAAATAGCTTCTTTTAATAATTGTTAATTTCTTGAGCTCCAGAGTTCATATTCCAGAGCAAGGCCTCACCTCAGATGCAGGAAACCAGACAAGAATCCAGCTACTTCATGAATGTGAGTGACTTATGAGATGGAGCCATAGGGATGTAAAGTCTGGGGAAAAATAGATAAATTTCTGATTTGAAACCTATGGCCATTTCTGAATCATCTTGCAGTAAAAAACAGTCCTGTCATACACAGAATGAATTTGGTGTAAGGAACAGGTGAGAATGACTGCAGAGGAATTGCTTGATAAAAAGATTTTGGTTGAAAGCAATGTGTGGAGGTCACCTAGCCCAAACACCTTTTCCACACAGTACTTTATTGTACATTTTGAGATCCTGGGCCTTGTCTCTCTGAGTTCCAGTGTACGAAGTCTGCTCTGAAAGTAATGCCTCCGTTTTTAGTGTGGTGGGTCCGTACATGTACAAGAACAAAAAGACATTACCACCACAGGAAACAGCTTATTCTTCAGTTCACTGAGCATGTGCCATACAAAATATTCTTCCTGGCATGAGTGGCAGATAAAGTCCCATGCTGCATTCCAGAATTAAGTAGAATCATAGAACCATTAAGGTTGGACAAGATCTCTAAGATCATCTGGCCCAACCATCCACCTACTATCAATGTTGCCCACTAAATCATGTTCCTTAGTATCACATCTACATGTTTCATGAGCACCTCCAGGGACAGTGACTCTACCGCCTGCCTGCGTATCCCCTGGCACAACTCAAGGCATTCCCTCTAGTTCGATTGCTAGTTACCCACCTCGTTTCCTCAGCTGCTCCCCATAAGTCCTGTGCTCCAGACCCCTCATCAGCTTCATTGCCCTTTTCTGAACACACTCCAGGGCCTCAATGTCTTTATTGTAGTGAAGAGCTGAAAGCTGAACACAATACTCATGATATGGCCTCACCAGAGCTAAGTACAGGAGGCCAGTCATCTCCCAGCTTCTGCTGGCACCACTAATTCTGACACAAGCCAGGATGCCACTGGCCTTTTGGCCACCTGGGCACACTGCTGGCTCATGTTCAGATGAGCATCAATCAGTACCCCCAGGTCCATTTCCTCTACACAGTCTTCCAGCCACTCTGACCCGTTACCTGGGATTGTTGTGGCTGAAGTGCAGGACCTGGCACTTGGTCTCATTAAA